TCCCCCTTTTTCTTTTTTTTTTTCCCTGAAGAGTATGAAGTTGCTGTTTCTAAATTTATGCAGTGATATTATTGCCTGTCACCACTCACCTGTCATGTGTCTCCTTTTTTTCCTTATATCCTACCTGACTCTTTTTATCTGCTGTTGTCCATTATTTTATGATCAGATTAAGGGTTCTCTGAGAATGGGGATAATATTTTTGTTAAACGTATGGCTTGTGCCAAATACGGGTCTGCCCTGGGGTAGAGCTCTAGGTCCTATCACAATAAAGATAATAAATGCTAAAAAATATGAAGAGCCACTCATCAGTTGACAAACAAGTCCCTTAGCAAGTCCTAGTCCAGTGTGAAGAGCTAGGGCTAGCTAGCTAGATCTAGCGCATTAGAGCATAGATTTATATCCGCTACAGAGTCTGCTGCGCAAGCCCTGTACAACTAGGGCAAGCATCTAAAGGTACAGCACTGGGCTTAGCACCTTCTGGTATCAGTTGTACTAGCTTCTTTTTAATTTCATTATTGCCAAGATTGCATCTCTCTCCATAGATTCAGAAAGCCACCATAGCAATAGATCAGCTACAAGGTCGCTTACCAGAAAGCTCAGTGGAAAAGGCATCCAAGACAGAGCTCCTGGAACTCCTGGACTACCACAGCAATTTCCTTCTGGAGGTGGAGCACCAGCTGTCATCTTTGGGCCTGCTCAAACAGCATGCTGTCAGCATGCTTCAGGATGTGGAAATACAGCCTCCATCTCAGGAGGAACTACCAGTCATGCAAGAAATCAAAGCAATGCAAGATCGATGCCACAAGTAAGGCAATATTTTGAAAGAGTCACTAGAAGAATGGTACCTTACAATTCATGAATAAGAGTTTGCGTATCATTTTTGTTATCATTAACAATTACCATGCTTAAAAAAAATATTAGTTACTATATTTAAAGTAAGCATCAGTTCAATTTTAAATGATCTTTAATTAATTTTGGGTTTTACCATTATTTTTTATTTCCATCAGTAGGAGTACGCGTTTTGGAATATGTACTTCTTGCCTTTCATAATAGTAGTAACTTATGTAAGAGCTGTATAAATTACATTAAAGTTATAACTGATTTTAAACACTATCACTGCACCTCACTATTAATAATGACCTTCCCTCTTTTTGTAGCCTAAGTTCAGATTAGTTTATGACTTTGCTTCCCCTTTTGGAAGCATTTAGGTACCAAATGTAGGTATCCTATGAAATTCACAAGGGAATTTAGTGCACATGCAAACACAACTTATCTTAACATTTCACCCTGTGGTTAAATGAATGTTTATCTACATCTAAAATTCTTCCCTAAACCAGGAAGTTTTATGGCTAAGTTTCAGGACTCATATCCACCTCATAACTGCACTAAGATGCCATTAAGTTGATCTCCACAGTGGGAAGAGGGAGAGAGACAGAGAATGAAAAAACTGTAAACCCTGCACCTAGCCTGTGCAAAGTTCATTGTGTGCATGCATAACTGATTACAGTAGAATAGCAATCCCTGTAGAAAATGTGCAGATATTAGCACTTTTGTAATTCCATTCTTCCCTTAGAATTGGTTTCCAAGAAATAGGGTCTGTGATGATCTCATGCTCGTGTAAATAAGGCATGATTCAGCTATGAAATATTATACAAACATACATCAAATATGGGAATATCAAATAAGATCCATATCATGCATGTAAGAGCTACAAGTAGTCCTGTAAATCTTTCACAGAGCTGTTGTCTGAAAAAGACTCTATTTTTTACAGGAGATCCAAGTTCTTGAGGGAAGTGCAGAAATTGTGTCTTAATGGAAGTGTGGAGATAGGTTCCTGGATCAAAAATGGTGTTCAGATGTTTGATCCATGCCTTATCCTAGGTATTCTGCCAATGCAAATCCCATCAATAGGGGTAGAATTTATCTCACATTATTTTAGATTATAGATATCTGCATCTGAACTGGTTAGTTCTCGCTCTCTAATTAGTGGAGAGAAATAGACAGGTCTAAGATGCAGTTTTTCTGACCTATTTTAGAGGTTTCTTTTAGAACAATGATGAATCATCCTAAATCATGCCCTAGAATTGCCTGCTTCCTCCACTGACAATAAGGACAGTCTGTGGTGCTCAGATGTAGGTGTCTGTATTGTAAACGTTTGTGTTTCTTCAAAAGAATTCTGCGCTCCATGTCAAAATACATAAAACTGCTGATTAAAAGGAATGAACTGAAGAATGAACGTGAGAAATTTAAGTGTGCTGCTTTAGTAGTCTGTTGCAACACTGCCCCACTTCTTATTACTCTGGATGTGGAGCTATCAGTCATTATCTTTATTGTTCAATATTATTTTGACAAAGCAATAATTTTAGACGTTGCTTAATTCTTCACAAATAGTTATTGTTTCTTTGTTTCTGAAGTATGCAACAGAAAGTGAAAAAAGGTGTGAAGATGGTGAAACAGGAGCTGAAGGAGCGTGAGGAGGTTGAAGCAGAGATTAATACTGTGAAGTCCTGGATCCAGGAAACAAAAGAATATTTATTAAGCCCTGATGTAGAAGTGGATACTCAGCTTCAGGAGTTGCAGGTATATCAAATTTGTCAATTTCTAAATTACAATATTTATCTTCATTGTAATCTGCTAGTGAATGTTCATCAGTTCAAAAACTGAATTAAAATTAGGCAATATTCATTAATTTTTGAGTAAGCCACTAGACAAATTCATAAAGCATGAAGTAGCTGATGGGCTGTAATACCTTATTTCAAAGATATTTAAGATATATTTACCTATTTGCATTTATGCAATTTTATGTACTAGCATATTGTTTAGTAATTTTTCTCCTCTCATCTAAAATATAAGGGAACTGTAGAATGTGAATGGACAGAATGTGACATTTCATTTCTATCTCAGCAGTTTGGGGCAGGGAGGGAAACAACAAAATAAAATAAACTCATTTCACTGGAGGTGCTGGAAACTTGACAGTTTTTATATACATGTGGTCACACAGGAACAGAGAACTGGACAGACAGTCATAAATGAGAATCCAGGGAATCCCAAGATACAATTATTTTTAATGAACTAATTAAAAATTTGAAAGCAGCTAGCTTTGTTGCAAGCTGCATGTAATATCTGCATTTGCTAAGTTTATAAGACATATTTTTCTCACTGTTCTTAACAATACTGTTTTTCTGTCATTAGTCTCTCCTTGGTGAAGTAACTACTCATCGCCAGGCTGTTGAAAAAATGGCTGAACAACAACAGAATAAGTACTTGGGGCTTTATACCGTCTCTCTTCATTTAGCAGAAGTTGGGCTGGCCCTTGTAACTGTACAAGATCAGGTAAAGCATAGTAGATAAATGCATTACAGATCTATAGCCCTTCTTTAGACTTTATAACTTAGTGAAATACAGTATCCAAGTGTGGTCAAACTATGACAACATAGATTAGTTTCATTACCTTCTTCCTTTAAATTAAAGTAAGCTAAATAAAAGTTAATTTCCTTTCAGGAGGAGAGATTTCTGGTTACTGAATTTAATTCTTATTGTTGACAGATTCAAAGCAAAGAAAGAGAAACTCAGCGGATCAAAACATTGAATCAAGAGTTTGGTCAGAAAATCCAGGGGTTAGCAAATGAACTAAATGCCATTCTTTCCAAACTGAAAAAGAAAACAAATGATATAACACAGGCTAAACTTGAACAAAAGGTAAGACAAGGCTTCCCTTATTTGACTACACCATAAATTCTTCTGAATTGGGACATTCACTTCATACCAAAGCTGTATTTGTGAAGACTCGCATGACATATTTTTTTAATGTAGTTCAACAGAAGAATGGGCAGAAATAAGGGTTGACTGATGAGATTTTTTTAATTATATTCTTTGCAAACCAGCTCATATTGGGACTTGAGTGAATAACAGAACTTGGAGGAAGTAGCTGAGAGTAAAAGCAAGTCAGACTGACAAAGTTATGCTGTTCCATCTAAATAAGCAGTATGTATGACTGCAGAGTGGGAAAACCTGAGAGGCTCCCAAACTGCTCTTTGTCTCAGTCTGTACTGAAAAGACCGTTCTTTACAGTACACCTTTACTTGCAATAAATAGAATTTTACTTAGCCAGTAGTCCATCTCATATCATTTGGTGCAATAATGAGGTAAAGTACCACTGGTGCAGTTAAGGGTAATGCAAAGGACTCTTGGTTATTTTTCTAGGTTTTCTTAATCTTAGGTATGTATCACACTCAGAAAAACTCAACTGTACTGAGGTGTAATGGCCAAGTTAGGATTATCATGAGAGTAGAGGATTTTGGTGGGGGGAGGAAGAGATGAGGGAGGGATTGGTGGTGGGAGTGGTTTGGTTTGGTTTTTTTTAACTAGTCAGATATAAACTTGACGAAGTTACTGTCTGAAAGTAAGCAAAACGTACAAAATAGGAGAAGGTTTGACATGTCTGGTATGTCGAAAATTACCTGTTTATTTTCATGAGTTGCTCTCAATACGCTCCAAAGTACTATTTGCTCTGCAGGAGGTGTCACTGGAATATATCCCCTTAAAACTGGTGTATCTCCTTGATCCCAGTAATTAAGCAGAAAGACAGTGAAATGTGCTTTCCTATGTTACATAGACAAAAACTGTCTCACTGGACGTTTAGTAAAGTTCCCTCAATCGCATTTATGTCAGCACTCAGCTGATACTCCTGAGATTGGGTTGGCTTTGGTTACAGCAGTAGGTATTTTTATATTAACATTGAAACTGATTGTGAAAAACAAATTAAAAATCTGGTTTAAATCCGTGTGACCCAAGTCAAGTGGATCTTTCCCTTGCTTTTAAACAGCATATAAATTCTGTGTCATTTCTATAGTAGAGACATTTATTTATGCCTGCTTGAAATATGTGTGTCTTTGTATTTTGATTCAACATCTGTCTTTATGTGTATGTGTAGACAGTTATGTCACTAAGTCGTGCTACTGTTCATGGAATAATATTTGTTTATCATAATGGTTGATCATAACTTACACTCTGAGGTGTGTCTGCCAGGACAGCCCTAACCGGAAGAGCTTGAAGTATCTTCTTGAAGCACCTGTAGCTAGAGCAATGTTCTGAATCAATTTTTGTCTGATGATGGCAATTTATATTTCTAAAAACAATTGTAAAGGGGCTAGAGTCTTTGATGAGACTTATTTATATTACAAAAACAATGACTCATTAACATCTTAGATATAAAAACAAAATAAAAAAATCCCAATACCCCCTCTCCAAGAAACTGTAGCCCATAAATGTGTTATCAGTCTATGAGAAACATAGGAAACCTTTTAGGTTTCCTTTTTGAACTTTTCAGAAACTTTGTAACTATGGTAAGAAAAACTGATTTTAAAATTTGTTTCTACTGAAACAGTCTAGCATGATCCACACTGCTCCTGTGTCAAGATCGAGCTATGAAAATGCAAGTTTTAAATGAAAATGAAAGTTTTTATAATGCATTAATATTTCTGAGTTTGTAAGGGTATATTTCAAGACAGCAACACAACAAAAGCCCTTTCAATTAAATAAAAATCCTGGCAATGTGTGCTGACTATTAATTTCAAAAACAAACACAGAAGGATGCCCAATAACAGCTAATGTCACTCTGAAGTGACTCAGTCTTTTACTATGGTAGGAAAAATGGTTATCCATTTCAGACAGGAGGTGAGAGAAGAAAGAGTAAATGACACACATTTAAGAGATCACCAAACATCCTGCTATTCTGCCTTCCTGCTTAGACAAGTATTGTTGGTTTCCAGACAGAATAAAAATGGAACAAACTATGGAGACTTTGGACAGTGTACGAAAGTTGCAAGTTGGACTAGAAATAATTGACCAGAAAGCTAACATTTCCTGGATCACTGATTTTTCTTATTTTTCTGTCTAGATCCTTGGTGAAGAGTTGGACAGCTGCAATATAAAGCTGTTGGAATTAGATGCATCAGTCCAGGACTTTGCAGAGCAGAACGTACTGCTGGCTAAGCAGCTGGCTAATAGGATAGGAAAACTCACTGCATTGCACCAACAGACCATACAGCAGGCTGAGTATAGAGCAGCCAAGCTCAGTCAGGTATGATCTCAAATCCTTTCTGCTGTTTCCTTTCAGAAGCAAAAGGAGCATGCAAACTCCTCATTTATTTTGCTGTAGTTATGCAAGAAGGGGCATTCCTTGGCACATCTGCCTCTTGTTAGTCAGGGCTTGCATCACACCTCAAAGAGAGTCACAGGTGGGTCAGATCAGGAAGGTTGAATAATTCTGTGATGCTGCTTTAACATCCTCTTCCATGAATCGTCTGCTGGTTGGTTCCTCCGGTGCCCTGAAAAGATTATAGACCTTCCCACTAACAGTAACATGCCAGGAAATACTATCTCATACTTTTCAGAGCCTCTGTCTTATCACTGTTACCTATATTTGCAGCATTAACACAAAAAAAAAAAAAAAAAAAGTTTTGCTCTAGTCAAAATCTATAGAGGATGAATATAATTTGTAGATTCAATAGAAAAGCGTAGATACAAGGTCCTGCTAATGCATAATGATGATGCAACACTTCAGCATTCATAAAGATGCTTCCCCTGCAGTTCAAGGTCCCTGAAACTCTTTCTTTTGTATTTTTTGTAATTGCTGTTATCCCAAAAAAGTCTAGCTAAAAGAAAGAAATGGATTTTCTATGGTTCTGCCATCAGTACCCTGATAAATTAAGAGTTCTCTTTTCTGCATGCATAAAAGAGCTTCTGCAAGGCTTGAAAAAGATAGCTGTTTAATGTTATTCTTCCAGTTTGCTCTGCAAAATTGTTTTAAAAAGAGATAGAAAATTACTTTCAAAGTAAGATTTCAGTCAAAGGTACTTGGTGAAGGGATTTAACTATTAGGATATTTTTGTTCAGTACCAAGTAATCCACTTCCTGTCATGAAAAATGATGGGTAAGCAAACTGCATGCGAATACAGTTCTGTCACCTAGGATTTAATCCATCCTTGATACAGAACAAAAGCATGAAAGTCAGTGAAATTATTCTGGCTAAGTGAGAAGAAAATTTGAACTAAAGAGTACTTTGCTAAATAGAGATTGGAAGAGTCAGAAAGTAGAGCTCTTGTCCTGTATTTTGATATAAGTGCATCATTTCTTTTTGTGGAAATATGACATGCTGAGTGGACAAAGCAGGTTTTAAATAAAGGTGATTTTGGGGATGATGTGGAAAGAGACAAAGAAAAATAAGAAGTGACATAAAAGAGGCTTGCAGTGAGCCACAAACTGAGTAGGAAGGTATTTTGGAACTTAAGTGTGAGGCTGAATATGTGCAGGAAGTGTACCCTCTAGGGATGTATTTAAGCATCGATGCACTCTCCCAGTATGACCTACATTCTTGTAGTGCCTTTTTTTTATCCTGAAATAGGTATGCTTGTTACTGGAAGCAGACCTGTTTTAACTGCATAAATAGAGAAGTAATTAAATTACATTCAACAGAAAGGAAAAGTTGTTAAAATGATCCCCAAGTTAAAAACAGTAAATGAAATAAAAGTAATTTTCTCATTCTCTAAGAGCTGTACAGAATTACATCTTAGGCTTAAGTGGATGTTTCTTTTATATCCAGGCTGCTTCACACTTGGAAGAATACAATGAGATGCTGGAGTTCATACTGAAATGGATTGAGAAAGCAAATATCCTAGTGCACGGTAGCATAACATGGAATTCTTCCTCTCAGCTTCGTGATCAGTTTAAAGCCTACCAGGTGATTACATGAGCTATGAAGTTTAAAGGGCAGTGTATAAAATAAGTTATTTTCTGAGCACTGAAGTTTTATTTCCTACACATTTTTGTCTCCTTTCCTTGAGGAAAAAAAAGTCTTCAAATGCTAGGTTTCTTTCACTGCTCTCCCAAGTCTTAAAGATGATTGATTTGTTTTGGACAATTGTTTTGAAGACTGAAATTAAGATATATTGTTGAATAAAACTATGTGATTCAAAGTTGATCTCCATGTTTACTCAAGTACAGTGGCTTCATAGCAGCTTTTGATCGAACAGTGTGTCTATACACTGAGATTCTATCACACTGAGTACCTCATTGCAGCTAGTATTCCTCTAAAAGTTTAGTTAACCAAACACAATTTTCAAGTTTGGGTTTTTTTTTTTTTCCCCTTTCTCCTTTACACTAAAATGGAATAGCCTTTGTTCTCATCTGATGAGTTTCACACCAAATGTTCTCAGACTGATACCCAGTGAATGAGTTTCTTCCAGTTGCTTCCTGAACATCTCACATCAGAGTGTTTTGCTGTCTCTGTGACAGTGCAATTTGTTCTGTCTGTGGAATGTGTAAGTGTGGGATCAGTTTGGTAAGGTTCAAGCTTGCCCAGTGTTATATGACCATATGAATCAAATCAAAGCATCATGTCTCACTAACACCAAAATAAGACTGTATTAGTTATGTTTTTTATATATACATTACTTAATTGTCAGCTGCATTCACTTACATTAGGGCAATGTAGTATGTCATGCTTTCTTACTCTGAATAGGAACCTCCAGGCAACACTGTCCTGAGGATAGCTGGGAGATAGCATTTCTGGTTTGGTTTTGCTATGGCTTTTTCCCTGCTTCAAAAGTTGATGAGGATACGGGCTTAACCAATGCCATCCCACAGAACACTTTGGTAGCCATTTTTAGGCAGCATTAATGACTACTGCCCTGCTAAAATGTTGCACCCAAGTGCTTTCTGCTGCTTCCTATTAGGTACATCAGGCTTCCAGAACAAATCCTATCCATAGATTGTGTATATAATATTTTTACAAGCAAGTGTGTATAGCAAAACACTAAAATGAATGCTGCTGAAGCTTCACGACTTACTCTTTTGTTTCCCAGTCTCCATAAGCTGAAGCACTTCAACATACACTCAGAATTAAGCATATTGCCTAAGCCTTACAGCAAATTAGTAGAACTTAATCATATGTTTACAGATGTGTACAAATTGAGGAGTTTGCAGAACAGGAATATACTTAAAGATATGTTTAACCTGAAGCTCAACTCTGGAATTCAATTTGTTTGTATCTCCATCTAGACTATGCTTGATGAGTCTGGAGAGATTCACAGTGATCTTGAGGCCATGACTGAGAGGATTGAGTATCTGGCAAGTGTATACTGTACTGAAGGAATGTCACAGCAAGTGCTGGAACTGGGGCGGCGGACAGAGGAATTACAGCAAGTTATCAAAGTGCGGCTACCAAATCTCCAAGATGCTGCCAAGGTACATGAAAGCAGTTTTTCTAATGCTAGCTGGCAGCTAGGGTGGTGTGTGCATCATGTTTCTGAGACCATTAGCAGCACAGATTATCTGTGCTCTGTGAAGGGCGTGATTGTGTTGTCTAAAGTTAGATGTCTTGTGCCATTTGAGATACTGACTTCAGGTGCTGTTCCAGACAGGAACGAGATTCCTGTCTTGTCCTGTCATCTGCCCACTCTGGATGGATGTATTTGGGTTCATGGTGTGTCTCAAATGGCACTGAGCGCCTGTGTTTTGATACTTGAAAAGTGCCTGTGTTGGCATGTACACTGTGCAATTTCCTTTATTTTTCTCTTAAAAGATATCTGAAGCCTATTATCTATTAATTCAGATCAGTGCTGGACCAGACCAGGATTCCATAATGTAAGACCTACCTTTACAAGGGAGTGCAATAAAAAGAATAAATGTACTTTTTCATGTCCCTGACATTTATGTGCAACTCTTCCAAACGGGTTCATTGTTAATGTAAATGTGTGTTACACCTATGCAATGCCTGAGGGCACGGTAAACTGGTGCAAGACACAGGGAAAAGCACAGAAGTCTTTTCTACATGCTCTTACCTTCAGGGAAAGAAATTTTACCTTTTTTTTTGTTTGTTTTCCTTTAAACTGATACAATGATTCAGGGAAAAAAAGAGTATTGGAATGGTATAATTAGTATACTTATAGGGGTTCTTCTGCTGTCACCAGCTAGTTACACACTACTAAATAGGGAAATACCTAAAGGCAACTAAGAGAATAGACTATCACCAATTGTTAGGACAATCGCAGCTAAGGTTAAAAATGGTCCTTCTCCACATTTGACTCTTATTTCACAACATTTATAGGACATAGCAGAAATGCTGCAGCTGCAGTAGGCATAACAGCATAACAGAGAGGTTTTGAAGAAGATTTCTTTTCATTACAAAAGCACAATTTGGTAAACCACAGTTTATGAGCTGAAGGCTTTTATTATATTTTTTCTTTTTTTTTATTTTTCATGGAGCAAACCAGAGATGTGTACAAGTAAGCATAGTAGAAGTGAAACTTACTAGCTTCAGTTCTCAGAGAAATATTGGAACAATTGAATAAACTATTTGTAAATTCTTATAAGAAAACATGGAGATGAATAAAGCCAACATAAATTTATGAAGAAAAAAAATCATATCAAAAGTGTCCAATTTAATGTGAAAGTAATAGATAAATGTACAGTGTCATATATCTTGACTTTAATAATGTTTCACATGATACTGTTATTACAACAAAGTTAATAAGCTTATCTAGTTGTAAACACAATAGGTAGGTGTAAAGCTGGCTAGAAAACTTAACTGGTGTGTAATTATCCATGGCTCACAGCCCAAAATGAGGATACATCAAGTAGGATTTTGCAGGGCTCTCCCTTGGATCTGGTACTATTCAATATTTTCATTAATGAGTTGGATGGTGGTTTAGAGGTCATGGCTTTTGGGATGCTTAGACAACATCAAAGGTACAGGGACTACCTGAAAAAAATTAGGCTGCTGTTCAACAGGGATGGGGCAAATTGTTACATTTAGTCACGAAGAACCAGGCATGGGTCTATCTGAATGAGGAAATACTGGCTTGATGCACCCTGTTGAAAGATCTTAAGTTTAATAATGCAGATCATGGAAGCATAAGTGAACAATGTCACACTGTTGTAAAGAATACAAACACCGTGCAGAAAATAAAGGATATAACTGTAAGGTATGTGAAGTAGTCTTTTTGTTCTACGTATTGGTCACTAGTGAGGTTTCAGCTGTGTCCAGCTTTGCACTTGAAGAAAGATGTGAACCAACTGGAGAAAGAACAGAGGATAATGATGATTGTGATATGTGTATAAATTTGTAGAAAAGATGCATGAAAAAGGATTATCCTGACATATGATGTATTCAGAGAGAATAAACATAATTTGTTCTTCATGTCTGTTGTTAATGGGATAGTAAGTAGACGATTGAAATTGCAACAAAAGATAACTTCATGTCAGACTATCAAAAAACTTTCTATAAAAAAAGAGTACTGAAACTGTGGAATATGTTGTCTGTAGAGATAAGTGGGACTGTGCTAGTGGTCTTTACTAACAGACCGTAAAGATAAGACAGTTATGTCCTATCTTATTACAGCAAGATGACTAGAGGACATCTTGAGTTCCTTTCTAGGCCTCAAACTTTATGAAATTGGCTTTATAAAGTACATGCTGTATTTGAGATTGAGGAAGTACTTAAAATAACAACTTTGACTTTAAGACCTCTTCTTCTGTCATGTGACTGGTATTTTTATCTAGTATTTTAAACATTTAAAATTCATTGTTAAAACTATGAATTAGTTTTGGCACTATATATGAGAGACATAGCTACAAAATCCAGACAGGTATATTTATAGTGTGGGGTTTTTGGTTTTGTTTTTTTTTTTTCTTATTCATCCCTGAATCAAATCTGTTGTGTTACAGGACATGAAGAAATTTGAAGTTGAGCTCAGAGCCCTGCAGGCTGCTCTGGAGCAAGCTCAAGCCACACTGACCTCTCCAGAGCTTGGGCATTTGACCTTGAAAGAGCAACTTTCTCACAGACAGGTAAAAGGCCAGGACCTCAAAGTTAGCACTTGAGTAGTGTGAGCTTACACAAAGCATAACGAATGTTGGTGAGACCAATTGTGTTTCTTAGGTGGGTCATTGTTTCGGAGTCTAGCCTGAAATTACTGCCAAGGGAGTAAGGGATGGAATGGGAAAAAACATTCCCTCAAAGGGAATGGCTGAAGTATAATTCTTTATGAGTCTGTTCTTAGGTTGATGCCATTCTGAGAAATGCGCACACAAGTTTAATCCACATTAATAATAATAATAAAGCTCAGTTCTTTTCCAGTGCTTTTCATCAACAGGTTCTTAAAGTACTTCAAAATGAAGTCTAGATTGTTACCAGCATTTTACAGATAGACATGCAATGAGATAGGGTGTTGCTAGCTCCCCCAGTAATCAACTGGAAAGCTAAGAGAAAAATCAGTTTTCTTTAAGCCCAGTTACATTTTTGTATGTTTAGTTAATTACCTCTATAAGATATTGCTGCTTTCTGTACTGCACTTGGCCTACTATAAAGATTTGTAAATTTGTTATTTTTGGTCTCAGTTTCATGACAAGAAAAATAACCCAAGTTACAGCTTTCTGAGTTGCTTAAGAAATGTTTCTTGCTGCAAGCTAATACAGAGATTTAACTGTCCTAGTCTGCCAGTGAAAACTAAACGTTAACAGGTCCGCCCTAGGATTAAAATCTGCAGAAAAACATATGGATGAATGGTAAATTTGTAAAGTTTTCCCTTTTGATTAATATGTGTAGTCTTTCTTCTAGGGACTTGAAGCCAAATTTCAGATTATGGCATTGAAGAGTGTAAGTGAAACGCATCACCCACCATAAGAGTAAAGGAATATGGAGTTTACACTGTTGTTTATGTGTATTCTTTGTCCTCGCTCTAGCAGGTCTCACAGTATGACTTCCTTTTGTACAGCAAGGGGCTGTAGCCCCTGCCCACCTGTTGCAGCAGACCAGAGAGCCTGAAGAGTGCCTGGCTGGCATGCAGCCCCCAGGGTACCTCTGGGTGCCAACTGCACAATAAAGGCACCCTTTGCCAGCAGTATGGGGCCTACCTGAGGGGATGCCTCACCAGTTATGTCTGAGAAATCGGTCCTTATACCGGATCTCCACCACCAATTATCCAGCATATATCATGAAGACACAGAAATAAAGAGCAAACCACAATCCTCTCATCAGTATGTGCTTCAGACCCACTTAGCTACCTTTGCATATGGTATAGGAGAAGAGAGACGACGAGTCCCTTTGTCCCTGTTTGCCACATACGTTGTCTAGCTGATTTATATCTGTTGAACTTAAAATCTTTTTCTGATGTGCTAAGGCCCTTTTCATCAACTTTGCCTTTTTTAAATTTTTTTTTTCTTTTTCTATCTGTGAATACATGAAACTCCCCAATGAAGATAAAAAGAGTGCTGATCAAATCTGTTCTCCACTCATTGCACTTAGACCCTTCTCATGCATATGAACAGACAGCTTGAATGGACATTGTGAATGGAATAGAGACTATTAACAAAGGCATCCAGCGCATGATTATTCAAAGGAAAAGATTTCTGTGTAGCTGTGTTTCTTTCTGTTTGATTGCCTTTTGAATTTTAAGCAACATTTTCAGCCATGGTTTGTATTTTCAAAGGAAGGCTGTGAACACGACGGGATTCATTTGCTGGTTTGCAAATGTGCTTCTGTGTCTCAGCAGGGAGTTCCACTCGGATTTTAACATCAAAATATGTGTATACATAAATGACTCCTGTGCTGCTTTGATTTGTGGATTTTGTAAAGATGTTGTTTTCAATTATGTTAACAGAAATATTTTTGTACTTAGACACTTAGAATTAGGTACTACTATGCTTTTTCATGAATTATTTTTGTTCCTATTATATGGGCTTTTTGCTTAACTAATATTTAAAAGACTACTCATTTCAGAATGAACAACTCCAGACAAAGCGTGTCCTGATTATATTCAGTTTAGAAAACAGATAATCAAATTTGTTTGTCTTAGTGCTTGAACTCATCATTATTTTTTTCTGTACTTTTTCTGCATGAAATGCTCTGGGAGTTCTGCAAAACTGTCTTATTGTGGCACTGACTTTGTTTCTAGCATCTGTTGTCTGAAATGGAGTCGCTGAAGCCAAAAGTTCACGCGGTACAAGTCTGTCAGAGTGCCCTCAGGATTCCTGAAGAGGTGGTCACCGGCCTGCCAATGTGCCACAGTGCCCTCCGGCTCCAGGAGGAGGCCAGCCGCCTGCAGCACACTGCCATTCAGCAGTGCAACATCATGCAGGCAAGTGCAACTTCACCCCATAAATTACTCCGAGTAGGTTGAACAGTGCCATACAAATTATGATGAAAACAGAGGAATTCGTATCTCTGTGCCTTCCTCTTTTCCATGTAGTACCGTTAGGAAGTTCCCCACTAAGTTTTAGTAATTTCTGACTCCATGTTTTTGGGGGTTCTAACATTCATGATCATGTAATTGTTGATTTACTCATCAGACTCTCATCTCTGTTCTCTCCTTGATCTTGCTATGTTTTTTGTGGTGCTGTTAGGATTAACTAGACAAATATACAATTGAATGTAGGTTAATTTTATAATATATATAAAATCAGTTAATGAAATTAATGTATCATTATAACATGAACTGCTTCTAATGATTGCATAAAAACTATAGAGTTAATTAAATACCTTTCTAGGATAAAAATAATGATTTTTTTTCCCTTTATTTAAAATTTATATATATTTGCTTTCTGATTTTGGAGTCATTCAGCACCTATTAAAGTCATATTTTCAAGTTTTGCTAAATACAAGAAAAACTATGTTTTGTTTGATTGTTTGAATTCATACCTAAATATGTAAAAGGTACTTCAAAAAAAGAAGAGAAATAAGCTTTTCTTTCGTGCTATTTAGCGATAGAAAAATACATAGTGAGCTAGGATACAACTACAGAGCTTCAAGTTAGATAACAGAAAAGACTTTCCATCATTAAGGATGCTTAATGATACTTACGTACAAGGAAGGATACAATGTCACACTGAAAAGTTTTAAAAACAGGTTACACAAACTGCTGGTGAATCTATGACAGAAAGAACTGATAACTACACTGGTAGGATAATGGTCTGAATCAATCTTTACAATCTTCTCCTAGTTGTATTTTCTGTAAAAATCCAACTTTTTCATATAGTCTTTCCACTTCATAAATGGAGGCTTGAAGTGAAAAAGAAGATGAAAATGCTTTATAGTAAAACCATGAGACTAGGCAATGCTGTCTTTTGGTGGATATGTTGGGTACAGATACTTGTTGGAAGCAGAAGTTCTAGCTCCTTATATTGGATGTCTAAAACATCCATGTTTTGTGAACTGTTTTTGGGAAATAGTTAAATAAATTAAACCATTGAATTTATTGCAGTTCACAGTATTTCTGAATAGACTTTTTCCTGGCTATATTCCTGCTTTCCTTATCCAGATGCATGTGCCAGATAGATGTAAGTTTGCTCTACTTCAGAAGGGAGATCAGTTATGCTTGGACTAAGTAAATATTTATTTTCATGTAGACACTCAATTTTTTTTCCCCTCTCTAGGAAGCAGTGGTTCAGTATGAGCAATATGAGCAAGAAATGAAACATTTACAGCAAATGATAGAGAGCGCCCATCGTGAGATCCAAGACAAGCCAATAGCAACCAGCAACATCCAGGAACTCCAGGTCCAGATTTCTCATCATGAGGTAGGAGAGCCCAAATGCAACAACATGGGCTCAATGGCAGCTCATTGGCCTAAAAAACTTTTCATAAGCAACAGTCATAAATTAGCTGAGTAGCTTTTCAGACTTGCTCAAGGCTAGTTGAACAGATAGGCTTAATACCAGATGGGAAACTCATGTTATTGGTACAGTGTGGAGTATTCATTTGTTTTCTTCAGTTAGGTGTGTCCTGATCTCCAGGCAAAATTATGAGAAACGAAACCATTGCATAATTAAGGGACAGTTAACGTAGGTACTTGACTGAGGAGTGTCCCAGAAGTCAACACTGAGCAGTTAGTTAGGTGATTAGTGCTAGCTCAGTGATATGTATATGTGTATATATTAAAGTACTTACTCGTTTCCATCCCAGTAATGTTCTGTAAAAGAACACCAAAGGACTTGGATCACATGAAAGCCACAGTCGATTTGGAGGAAAACTGCAACGTTCACTCCAAAGGCTTCTTTTAAAGTCATTGCTGGGAAGAGTTTTGTCCTGTGGAGTTACAGGTCCTGCCCTCAGACTCATTGCTCTTCAGCCCTCAAATGAGTCGGGATACTCTCTGTGCAGCCTTCTTGCTGTGCTGGCATGGGAGCTCCTGAGCCCTTTTCCTCTTCCCCTGTCTGTTGTGTATTTCTTGGGATAGAAAATGTGCCATTGAACTCTGTGTGTCACTTTTGGCACCAGATGGCACCATTTCTTTACCTTTGAATTAAAAGCTATCTGTGCTATTATGCAATATAACCTAATGTTATATGTGTTGCTCATTTTCCATCCAGTTGTTACAAAAGTTACTTAGTATAAATGCAGAGCAGTTTGCTTAAACAAACACTTCTGTTTTTTTAGTACTGAATTAAAAATGCTACTGTTCTCTATTCAAATGTTCTGGAACAGGAAGTGCAGGAGAGTGACTTCAGCGATACAGGGTAATATTGCTAGAGGAAGGAATGATGCTGTGGGGAGGAAGGAATTAAAAATAGGGCAGCTTGAAGTTTCATCTGCATTTGAACAAGTTGAGTAGCTAGAAGTCCTTCTAAACGTCTGGAGGAAGACAGCAGCTTTACTCTTTTGCACATGTTGGGATCAACCAGAGTGGACAGGTTTCATACTTGCAAGCATTCCACATTTAGGGCTAGGGAGTTTTGAAAGGCTGAGATATGCATATTTTTGGCTCATATTTTGTCTGCTAAATACCTGTGGAAAAGCATAGCATAAAGGAGATATACTGAACCCTCTACCGTTATACCACTTCAAAAGGCAAGTGTGTGAAGATGCTTGTTATGTGTGTTATTAATTTAAGAAAACATCAGTTACCAGACTCCCTCTTGAAGCGTGCATGAACAAGAACTTAAAGGGACATCTGTAGTAGCTATATTTAGAATTAAAATAAAAGGAAGAAAGTAGAAGGAAAGTACCCCTGATTTGTAGGATGCTTGTATTACTGTGCATGTATGTAACTAGTTACACTCTGGAACTATGTTTACTGAACTGTGTTTCTTTAGACTTTCAGACAGGAATGTGGGCAAGTATCTCCATACTTGTGAATTATTTTAATGCATAATACAGTACCTTATAGGACATTGCTTTTATAAGTTCCTTTATTTTTTTCACAATCACTTTTTTGCCTCCTTTTCCTTTTCCTTGTTTTCAGTTGAGAGGTATGTTAGATACTCAGTGCATTGGACATTAATGCCACAAATGTTATTGCCTCTCAGTAATATCGATGGAGTTAAGTGAGTATATTGAATGACAATAATTTCCCACTGAACCCCAGAGACATCATTCACTGAGCATTAGTGAATGACTGGCACTTGCCAAACAGCAGATGACTATTCCAGCTGCTAAACATTAAAGTTATGGCTTGATTTGATTGCAGTTTGGTTTTCGATTGATCTAGTTCATGTTTTATACTCAAGATTTTGCTTAGTCTGCAAGGTAAGCCTTGGAGCTCCAAGAGAGCTCCTTTTGTTGCTAACGTGGCAGACAGTGACCAGGTACCATTGAAACCCAGGCAATAAAATGTCATGCTCAGTCTTTGTGCTGCTTCCATTTCTAATTCTGTATTTCTTGCTATGACTGTTCTGCACTGTGATTTTGAGGAAATGGTTTCCTGCAAATGTTATACAACCAAAAAACATCTTTTAATTTTACCAGCCTGAATCAGTAATCTTATTTACTTTTTAAAAGGTATTATAATTATTTATTATTATAACTACTAGATCTTGCAACTTCTGTTGCTATTTTTCCTTGAAAACTTGTGTTTGTTGAAGAAATAAAAGCAGATATAAAAATAAATCAGAAATATATATTTGAATGAATAATCACTGATTTAGCAGGCAAGCTTATACAAATGTTGTTTTTACTTCATAGATCAAAATTCTGTCATGTTACTGAGCCTCTAGGGAGACGGGAACAATAGCTTTGGCAGAAATGTGAAAATCTTTTTTATTTTAAGTATATTAATTGAAATCTTTGAAATTGGATACTGAACTGGGCAACAGTACAGAGTAGGAGAGAAGACAAGTTAGTTTCTAAGGCTATTCATTTCCATCTTTCTTCTCTGACTAAACATAAACTTATGATGGTGTTTGACCGTGCAGATAGACCATTTCATAGCCATAAGAAACAATATTTTAAAATACACTCTGCTTAGGCCAGATTCCCCAGCTCTTTTTAAATAAAGGTTAGTACTGTGTGCAGCTCAGCTTTTAATTCTGAAGACTTACACAAAACCAAAACAAGATTAAAATAATGTTGTTGTGGTTTAACCCCAGTCAGCATCTAAGTACCACACAGCCACTCTCACCCTCCCCCCTGCTGCTGGGATGGGGAAGAGAATCGGAGTGGGGGTGGGGGGGAAGTAAAACCCATGGGTTGAGATTAGGACAGTTTAATAGGACAACAAAGGAAGAGAAAATAATAATAATGATAAAAGAACATACAAAACAAGTGACGCACAATGCAGTTGCTCACCACCCACTGACCAATGCCCAGCCCATCCCCGAGCAGTGATCGCTGCACTCCAGCCAACTCCCCCCAGGTTTTTTTGTTCAGCATGATGTCATATGGTATGTAATACCCCTTTGGCCAGTTTGGGTCATCTGTCCTGGCTGTGCCCCCTCCCAGCTTCTTGTGCACCTGGCAGAGCATGGGAAGCTGAAAAGTCCTTGACTAGCATAAGCAGTACTTAGCAACAACTAAAACATCAGCGTGTTATCAACATTCTTCTCATCCTAAATCCAAAACACAGCACTATGCCCGCTACTAGGAAGAAAATTAACTCTATCCCAGCTGGAACCAGGACAATAGCTTATCCAAACACTGGCAGAAACTGATCCAGTCTGCATTTAATCTTATTATGTGACTGATTGTTCATATCACATTTGATCTTGTTAGACCCTGTGACTTATTGTTTGAACAATTCATTCTTTCTGGCGAGAGCTGAATGGGGCATTTTTTACAGTTGTGGTTACCACATGACCTCATTTCCATGGCATGCGCTATGCGGAGGAGTTTCATCTTCTTCAGCTAAATGGAAATAGAACAAGGGAAAATAAAATAGGACAGGAAGAGGGAGAGATGTTCCCCTTTGCTGCAGTCTGAAGCTTATACACTTCATGTCAGGTTCAGGCTGGATGCAAGTGTGAGGTGTTCCTCCCTCCCTTCTGCAATTACCATGCACACAGAGACTTTCGCAGCACTTTTCCGGTTTCAGTTCAAAGCTCTCGGCTCTGCGGTTTAGCTGTGCAGCCAGACACAGCCTGACTTGTTCCCTCCACTGTCAACATCCTGCTTGTCAGCTAGCGCAGCAGCTTATGCGGGGTTTCTGAGAGGCAGCACTATGATGTTATTGGCTGGGCTTGGAGGGGAGAGCTTGCCTTCGCCACGGAAGCTAAAATGCTGAGGGTCCTGTGGCCTTTGTTGGCTGCCTCTGCATTAGGGGAAAAAAAATGTTTCCTCAGGAGCTGGCTCAGAAGATCAAAGGATACCAGGAGCAAATTGCTTCTTTGAATTCGAAGTGCAAGATGCTGACAATGAAAGCAAAACATGCCACCATGCTGCTGACAGTGACAGAAGTGGAGGGGCTTTCAGAGGGAATGGAGGAGCTGGATTCAGACCTGCTCCCAGCACACCCAGCTCATCCCTCAGTGGTTATGGTAAGGAATGCATTGGTCTCGGTACTGTTTATCTGAGCTGCTTGCTTTTGCATCATTGCAACACTCCTGTGTAGCAAATTGCAGCAGCTCACATCTACATTTTTGCTTTTGAAATGGCTGGAGTGTGGCAAACCAAACAAGCTGCAGCTTCCCCTTACTGTATTTTGCTTTATATGGGTTTTCAAGACTTGTTGATAAAGGATGAAGCTATTTAACAGACAAATGCTGGTGGAAGTTGTCTATAATAAATTGCAAATACAGTGCTTTTTCAAAGCTGTCAGCATGCAAGTGCAAATGCTAAGAAACTACAGAATTGCAGGAATAAGATAAAACCAGAATAAATATTATTTCATAACATGTTGCAGTGTATAGGTTTTACATACCGTATTTTTAAAGCCCTTGTCTTAAAATGTTGATGTGATAATTGACAGTATGCTGCTATATTCTCAGACAAGTGTGTTGGAAATGAAAGCTGGCTAAGTACTGCCATAGGCCTCATGTTTGAATTACTCTGCTTTTGTTTGTTCCTAATTGGGTCTCATTGCAAACATACTGCTGATGCTGTTGGGATTTTTGTCTGAGTGAAGACAGAGCATGGCTATCAGGATTTATCACTGTATGACAGCTTTGGGGAAGCAAGAAAAGTATGTTGTTACTGGATTGTGTGTATTTTATATTCTAAGTCTATTCCCTGTTGTTCTAACCAGGCCCAGATACTGAGGCCAATACTGCATTATTCTGTAGCTTTCTATAGTATTTCCATATGCAGCAGTGATTGTGTTAGAAGACATTTAGACAAAACCTAATTTGTTATTAATGAGTTGCTCGCTATACATTTTCTTTTAAATTCATTAGGGTACAGGAGAGCCTGTTCATACTGAAGTATGACAAGTAAACAAGACTATTAATTGAACCAGATTTTTAAGCTGGTAAATGTAATAGTGTTAAGTATGACTAAATAATGTCATGGTAATTATGGCCATGTGTTGTTTTTCTTGTTTTGATCTCAATCAAAGTCAAACCTAAGTTGAGGTAACTGATTTTCTCCCTGTGCTCCGGGGCTGCTTTTCCTGTGGCAGATGACTGCTGGTCGCAGTCACACACTTCTCTCCCCTGTCACTGAGGAATCTGGGGAGGAGGGAACCAACAGTGAGATTTCTTCTCCACCTGCCTGTCGCTCTCCCTCACCTGTGGCTAATACAGATGCTTCTGTTAACCAGGTACCTCCCGCTTGGCACTGATTCAGCTTTTGTCTCAGAGACATGCATGGTTCCATTCCACAGGTGGTTTATTTAATCCTCTGAAATAACATTTACCCATAGCTCCAAGGATCTGAGGCTCAACCTCTGGCCTAGCAGAACCTTCAGGTTCTAGTCCAAAATGGATACAAATATAGACCTCTGAGTTTAAAATGTATAAATTTGGTGTTACAGCTATTCACTACTTTTGAAAACAAATTTTAAGTGACAATTAAAAAGCTCTTCCATGTCACTACTATTTTGTATTTATAACCTAATTTTTGTTTTCACAGTACTACTCAATGGAATCTTGCATCCTGAGAAAAAATGCGTTTTTGTACTGCCTGTAATAAAACATTGCATTATGTCCATATACATCTGTCTTACAGTACCGTTGGCATTGTAGCACTGAAGCCACAGCCTGATGTCTTTCACTTCAAACCATTTCAAGTATTAACTTTGATGTATTTTTTCATGTACAGTTCATTCCATACTTTCAGTGACAGTCTGTTTTAAGTGCTAATGAGGCATATCAGTGAAATCGCTAAAGTTAGATTTTTTTAAATCAAAACTGAGGACTCTGGCATTTCTGATAGGAACAAGTGTACATCAGCATTGATTAAAATGTGAGCAATGAACCAGCTTATTGAGCATCATGCACATGAAGACACACATAAAATGTTACTCTTTAGAAGCTTAGAAATGAGCCTTAGGAGCAGTCACCACCTCACTGCATTCATCATGTTGTGGGTTTTGTGGTTGGTTGTTTGTTTTTTCATTTGTGGCTGCTTCCAAAATTGACCACTGCAGGTTAAAGGGTAGAATGCTGTTGCATTGCTGAGTAGAAATAGAGAAGTTTGAGCAAGTTGCCCTCTAATTCATTCCACTCATTTCAAAGATACATATGGTGCTAATGAAGTTGCTAAATATAAATGATTCGTTTTCAAGAACTGACATAAGAAAAAATACTAAGGTAAGATAGTAAGAATGGTGACAAAATCTGCATAATAATGAAGTTATAAAGTTGCCTTAATAATAAAAAAGTTATATAATGAATGAGAAGGCTTTTTCTAGTGTTCTGTCATTTCAGATAATCAGAAATGTCCCAGTAAAGTTTACTTACAGTAGAAAGGCAGCTATATATTTCAGCACAAAAATGTCATGACAGTGTTAATCAGTGAAGAAGTTAAAGGAGCAAGAGCAGCTTGCTTTCTAATAGACAACTTCAGTGTCAGTTCATTACATTTCTCTGAAAATGGAAAAAAAACACATTAAGAGCTCCAATAACTCAAATAATAAGGAAAATCCAGTGAAGATGCTGTTGCACCATGAGCTGACACCAAAATGCAAGTTTCAGAACCTGTGATTTACAGGGCAAAATTGAACAAAAATATTACGTCTTTCATTTAGCAGAAGACCTTTGAAAGACATAAAATCACTGGTGTTATAATAATCTAAAAAAACTGACAGATGAAGGTTTCTTCAGTGTGGTTAATGTTGAAATGAACTGCATGTACTAAACAATAAGCGGAACATTCCAAAATGCAGTGGTTTACTTACAAAATGCTTAGGTTCACACTCACGTGAGATTAAACCTAAGAAGCTGTGAAACTGCCAGTGCTGATCACGATGAGTGCCCAGGGAGACATCAGGAATGAAGGTTGGTTTAAAAAAAAAAAAATACCTAGGGAGTAGTAAATTAGGAGCCTAAATGTAAGCTAAAAATATTTTGTATACCAAGTAAGTTGAGTAAAAGACTCAGCAAAAATAATTTGGAAATATTTTGTTTTAAAAAGTAGCCAGTGTTAAAAGAAATAATTTCTCACAGGAAGATCACCTGCAAAGTACTAGAAAAACATGTGAACAGGAACTCTAGAAAGCAAAGAATTACATTAATCTAGTCTTTGGAAAAAAATTAAAAGCTCATATGAAGTGGAGTGTGGGGGAGGGAAGGTTGGGTGTTAAGACTGCTTTTAAATTCATCCCTAATAATCTATGTACAGTCTTTTATCAGGGTTTCCTAGTATCTCTTAACGGTGAAATGTGGCTAGTCTGAACCGAGACATCTATGCACTATTTTTACATTGATAAGAAGTAATGAAAATATAAAACAAATGCCAAGTGCATATTAGTGGAAATATTGGTTCTGTGTATTGAAATAGATTAAACCAAGACCATAAATACAAGAAAGTGACAGATCTAGCAGTGTTATAAGTTAACAGTTGCCCAAGTTGTTTGTTTTGTACTGAAACTCCTCTAAAAACAACTGGGGTGGGGGGGGCAGGGAACAACTATAAAAATGTTAACTTTTAAAAGGCTGAGGGATTTCACAGTGTATAATATTTCATCAGTAGATAACAGTTCTTTAATGCAGTTTGATGTGTAGCAAAATCAGGCACTTCATCTGTGCTGCAGTACTGAATGAGAATCCTCTGGGGCTAAAACTTCTCATGCTTACCCGAAGATAAAGTTGATTAAAATTTAGCACATTCCTTTAAAACTTATTTTCCAGATGCATAATGCAGAGCAATTGAATTGAAAAATCTTAATAGTTGACACAAAGCCTTGGAGATCACAGCTGATCCTGTTATCCAAGTCTTCAGCACTGGGTCACTGTTAAATATCTTTCTATCTCCTTGTTCACCATGTACTTAATCATTCTTTCTCCTTCCTTATAAAACTCATTGAGGGTGCAACAGCCCTTGTTAAATATCTTTTGAAATCTAAACACACCCTTTACCCCTATGTCCTAACAAGAAAGCTTGAGTCCTTTTTTTTTGCTAATTTTCATAAAAAAAGGGCATGAGACATTATGGCCTTTATAGGGGGAACAAAATCTGTTATGTGTAAGAACATCTAGATTCACCCCATCAGCATTAAAGCCCTGCCAAAAAGAAACTGCCATATTGTTTACTTCAAAAAGTAGTTGGAAAGATGGGGAAAGGGATTGCTTTCCCCTCTTTTAAAAGCAAGGCCTTTATTCTGGAAATGATGATTAAGAAGTCTCAGAAGCACAGCTTTTCTCTTGGCCTTGAGAGAGGACTAGTTGAGGGCTGGAGAGTAGCTGCAAACAAGGCAAAACGAGAAGTTGCCTGCACTGGTGCAATTTTTCACTGTGACTGGGAAAGATTACTTGTGGTCAGAGCAAATAGTTCTGAAATTGCAGTACTGAATGCTGTGCTAAGCTGTTACCTATTCCCTGTTGGCTCCTGGACGTCGCAAATGCTTTCATCACTAAATTTTTCAAATTTCCCAGTTACTGCTTTTGAAGAAGTACCTCATCTGACACTTTTGGACAGTTTGATGTGCTGTTCATTCTTCGGTCTTCTGTTTCTCTGGAGAGACTGACTTTTTCAGGCATACTCAGTAAAGATGTGTGGTCGAGTTGTCAGTAAAATACACTCTTGGCTGCTGTCTCCCTTTAAAAATATTGGTGGTGACCTGGTAGTAGCGCCTTAATCGTTAAAATGTCCATACACAAAGCAGGTAACCTGATAAGTCTCTTCATTCTCGGGGGAAGGACTGAAGAACCATAGCTGTGCAGCTGCTGGGTGATGGGGTGTTTTCTGGGACAGGTGGGCATTCTGTACTCCCTAGGTTTGGTTAGAAAGAGAGCCCAAGAGGTGACTGTCTGGGAAGTGAGCTGGTTTCTATGCTCTTGCGGAGCTTGTTTGGTTTTGTTCACATATTGTATTAGATAACGTATTGAAATGACATTGGGAGATAAAGAGTCTGCTCCAAATTAGGATCCTAATTATACTCTGAGCTCTGGCTTTTATACACCTATACAGAATTGGAGAATGGTTGAGGTTGGAAGGGACGTCTGGAGGTCATCTGGTCCAACCCCCTTCCTCAAGCTGGGCCACACACAGCAGGTTGTCCAAGACTATATCCAGGTGGCTTTTAGTATCTCCAAGGATGGAGACTCCACAACCTCCCTGGGCAACCTGTGCCAGTGCTCGGTCACCCTCACAGTAAAAAAGTGTTTCCAGATGTTCAGAGGGAACCTCCTGTGTTTGAGTTTGTGCCCGTTGCCCCTTGTCCCATTACTGGGCACCACTGAAAAGAGCCTGGCTCTGTTTACTTTGCGTCCTGCCTTCAGGTATTTATACACATTTATACTCTTACATTTGCAGTACAGGTAATGGTCTGTGGTCTATTTGGTAGACACAGCTCTGTAAGCTGTCAAATGAAGAGCACTTAGTTTTCTCTCAGTCACATGGCTCGACATGATGAATTTTCCTCCACACCATACAGGGTCAGGAACGAAGTTATTTGAGAAATTTGCAGTCACTGGAGGAGGATTTTCCAAGCACACTTTTCAGGAGATTTTGAGCAACTTTTTATGCAAATATTGTGATAACTCTGAGAGCTGCCTGAAAGGAGGTTTAATCCAACCTAACAGAAATCAGTGGAAAATCTCTTACTGATTTCACTGGCAGCAAAACTGTATCTTCAGGTTTTCACCAGGGGCATTTACAAATTCAAAATGATTGAGGAAACTGGACAAAAGCTGCTGTGTTGCATGGTCTGGAGCATAGTTCACTAAGTGGGGCTGCTAAGTGAGAAGAAGGAAGGTTGCACCATTTTTCACCTTCCAAATAGATGTGGTGGTAACTGTCATACACAGTTTCAGTTTGAAATAATCCTTGTCATCAATTCTGCTTTCCTGACTTAAATATAGATACTGTGCATGTTTCCTTAATTTTACATTTTCTGTAGATCTTTTTAATTGTCACCTGCAATAGTTGAAGAAATTCCCATACACTCAGTATAGAAGTACTAGTAAGAAACAGTTCCACCGTGAATTTTCAATGGTAATTTGACCATTTGCCCATTTTCCTTAGCACTTTTGGTCCCTTTTCCTACTATCTTTAATAAGTTAGTTGAGAGTAGCTCTTTGAGGGCTTACTATAAGCTAGTGCTTCATACTCTTTCTTACCTCATTGACTAAGTCCTTCACCATATTCCTTTCTGATTCTTCTGTTGCCTTCTCTGTGCTCGTGTTCATTAGGGTGATATTCTTTGCCACCTACAGTATCGTAACCCATTGTCTGTTGTGATGAGTTTTCCCCATGTGTAGTTGTGATGATGCTAGAACAACACTCCCACTTGTAGCACTCCCAGTCTTTCCATGTCTGTCCACAGTAGTGTCCTCTACCTCCTAGCCAATATGAACATGAAAAAAAATGCATCCACAATCTTCATCATAGTGAAGCTCTAAACCGTACTCAGTGTACTACTGTTAAATATTTTTTACTGTGCTGCTCAGAGGTTTCCTGGTAGTTTTGGCTTTGTGGGTTTTATTTTAATGGACATATGCAATGGGGCAGTATGTGGGGGGGTATTCTTATGCAGTATCTTCCGTTTTGGAAGTGCAATAATTTGCTTCATGCTTGTAGGACATTGCTTATTACCAAGCCTTATCTGCTGAACAGTTGGCCTTATCTGCTGAACAGTTGCAGACTGAAGTGGCTAAAATTCAACCCAGCACTTCAGCCACCCAGGAGTTCTATGAACCAGGCCTAGAATCAGCTGCTAGTGCCAAATTGGATGATTTGCAACGTTCTTGGGAAACACTGAAAAATGTGGTAAGTTGTCATCTGGAGGGTTCAAAATAATCAGCTAGCTTGTGAGGAATAAAATGCAAAGAACTGGCTAATATTCTTCTCTGCAATTCTTGGTTTTCAGGTGGTAACAAGAATTAGTAGTTGTGATATTTTATTAAATTGGCTTTGTTCTTTGTTTGAAAGCTTGTGCAGGATGGACCTCCATTAAGAAAAAAAGTCATTAAGGCTGATAGTTGCCTTCAGAAATACCGGCTATTGTCAGGCTGTATTCCATAACCTAACAGGGAAATCTACTCACACTGGATGAGTTGGCAAAAAAGGCCCAAGAATCCAGTTTCTCCAAATACTAAGTCAACTTAACAGATTTGTACATAGTAGTGCAGCATAATCACTCGGTGATGTATGAAAATGGTCAAAGTTTTGATCGCATGGTATAAATTTTAATTCTTTGCAGAGGTACAGTAGCTATTATGGGGTATTAAGAACTATGCATCTAGTAAATTGTGCACATCCACGTGTTTGAGTGCATAAAATCTAAAATAAGGGATGAGAATGTGCCTGCGTTTCCCCTTCTTATTAAAGTCCATTTTAGGATTTGACTGATGATGTTTAAACAGATAAATATTTTTAATAGGAATGTTTTGCTTTATAATTTATACTTTTGAAAATTTGTTTTAAGTTTTTGGTTTAGTCTTGTAAGCCTAGGGGTGTATGAAGCAGAAGAAAGAACAAATCCTGTATCAGAGGTCAGAATTTATACCCTCCATTCCTCTTCAGATCAGTGAAAAGCAGCGTACCCTCTATGAAGCTCTTGAGCGTCAACAGAAATATCAGGACACACTCCAGTCTCTGTCCACAAAAATGGAGACCATGGAGATCAAACTAAATGAGAGTCTGGAACCAGCCAAAAGCCCGGAGAGCCAGATGGCTGAACATCAGGTAAAAACTTATGTGTGAGAAATAGAGGGAGAGCATGCGTTATCTGTATAACTTTAGTTCCCTTTTTTTAGATAGTGGCGTTCTTCATGGCTGGATGCCTCAAAAACGTGCATTAGTTGTATGAACCTTTTCTGCTAACTGTATGTCTTGCCTTTCTGGACTTCCCGCTGTTCTAAAGATGGTGTAATGGGGATTCTTTTAATAAGGAGCCTTTAAAAAACCAGAAGAGAGCATAAGAGTTTGTCTAATCGAAATTTTCAGCAAAATCTTTTGTCAAAGATTGTGTTCAGTGACACCTACGCATACTTTTCTTCAACATCAGCGCTACTAGCATATATCAGACTATTTATAATGTTCCCAAATTTACTAAGATCATAACCAATACTGATGCATTGTAAATTGGTCTAAATACAACCTTTGCCTTGTTAAACAAAAGAACCAAACCAAAGCACACAAAAAATTACCTCCCAAGGGAAGTCTTGAGAAACGATGCTCTGAATAATAAAGTACCCAGTCTGACATGTGTTCAAGTTGTAATCATCTAAGCCTTCTATCTCATAGCTTGATACTATCTGGTGGGGCCAGTTCTCATTTCAGTAGGAACTCCAAGACCTGAAAAGGATAACATTTGGCTTTTGTAGCACTGTGTGATGTCCTGAGCATCCAATATGTATATACTATCAGACATGAAATTGAAGTATTTGCTCTAAGGTATTGGTAACACAGCATCCTTTTGTAGGTATCTTGGAAACTGATTTAGAGGATAAGAATGATAGTAGGAACTTCTTTTACATCATGGAGTTAATCTCTGGATGTTTATGTCTATTGCTGGATGTTCTTTGTCCAGTTAGTAAGTTCCAGGCTGGAAGCTAACTCATGCCCCTGTTTCTCTCTCACAAACACATGCTCACTTACTTGTTCATTACCTTCACTGTATCTACCAGAATACCCTCCAGAAAATTGCTTGGAAGAATAAATCTGTATGTCCAATATTTCCAAAAGAATTCTTCTTGTGATATGTTTGAATTTCAAGATAACTGAAATATGGATTTAATTACTTATCAGATGGATGATCCTAGCTGAAGCATCTAAAAGCAGGACTCAGTCCTTATGAGTTCTGACTCTACCAAACCAGCAGTGATATATTGCATTACTCTGTGTTCCTCATGCCCCCTTGGGACAGTCATCTTGAATTTTATATTAAGCCTGTGTCTCCTGAGATGCTTTCTTCTCACTGATAAATGAAGCAAATACTTTCTCTGCTCTCATTTATAAATAGGCTTTGATGGATGAGATTTTAATGTTACAAGAAGAAATCACTGAGCTTCAGGCATCATTAGCCCAGGAGCTGGTTTCAGAGCCACTGGATTCAGAAGCTGCTGATCAGCTGGCATTGCAGTCCACTCTGACAGTCTTGGCAGAACGAATGGCCACAATTCGAATGAAGGCATCAGGAAAACGACAGCTATTAGAGGTACAAGAAAAAACCCCTACGAGTGGGTCTTTTTGGATCACACATTTTGAGAGCCACTTTTGGCAGACCTGTACTTTCACCAAAGTCCTTAATCACCATTGAATGCTGATAATTAAAAAAGTAATTTTCAGTTCTGTTCATTTCTCACAATTCCTTTCACTAATAAATTATTGTTCTTTTTTAGCAAGCCCCTCATCTTAATGCTGGGTGATAAGTAATCAGAAGGAACTTGGAAACACACTGCAGGAGTAAATTTTTTTTTTTTTAATACCCACATTGACATTTTCTCAATAGGTTCCCTTGGTATTCCTTGTCCTCCACAGAAGTAATGAAGTGCAGGTGTTAAAAGTCATGTTATCTACTGTAAACTTTTGAGGAGTCACCTGTCCAAACTGGGAGCCAAGAGAAAGGGGAAAGCTTAAAACAAGAAATAACACCTCTTCCAAACCATTGCATTATTGTCTATGCTTATCTTCCCAGTGGTTTGCATTCAAAGCTATATCATGGAAGATGCACCCCTTTATTTCTTTGTCTACCAGCTTTACCAAAAATCCTTTAATACTAAGGTGGTTTTAAAAAAGTCCTTTACATATAGGAATGTTGCTGTGTATATTATACAGGTGAGAAAATGCAGTCATGCTAAAGCTGGCTGCAGTTTGGCTGCTTTGAACACTGCAGGGCAGCTTTACTGCTGTACTGCTAAGAACTGCAGCAGTGAATTCATAAACACAGCAACTGCTGCCTTCGTAATTTGCAGCATCAATCACTTCCAAGAGACTGAGTGAGAATTGGCTCTGTGGATCTACCTGGGCTACAGGGTATTCCAAGGGTGCATCAGCTGCATTATTTCTGTGCAGTCACCTGAGACAGTGACCAGATCCTTAGAAAATATCTTTGTTATTCTTAAAAAATTGCACTAAGTTTTACTTCTCAGAAGAAAAATGGCTTTTACGTAAAAATAAGGAGCTGGAAGGACAATAGGGATCTTACTGGTTATAGCTTGCACCACATACAGGATCTTACAAGCTTCTTGATAGTACTTAGGAGGAGATGCTAACTAATAATTTCAAGATAAAGCATGAGTCAGCTGTTCTACTCTTAACTATGGTTAAGATTCTGACAGTTACTTTGATACAATAGCACAAGTATCCCCCAGTAATCCTGGCTAAGAAATGTGTGGTATGTAGACAATATTCAGTAATTTAGCTTGTGCACTTTATAGCTCTGTGATTTCACAGATAAAATCTTCCAGAACCACTGCAGGGGTGTACGTGGGGAAATACAAATAGAACAAGTAATGAAAATATTTTGCCGTTGGGGGTGTGGATTGGTAATACTGTTCTTTCTGTGGTCCTAATTTAAATAACTGGAGCTTGAGAACTGCTAAGCTCTGGATTATTTGAGGCCCTTAAAAACTATCATTGTTCTTTAAATTATTCTAACATGCAATTATTAATTTTCCCATTAAAATGAAGCATTCAGAAAAGCTGTGCAAACACTTCGCTGTGTCAGGGATTTACCCTGCATGTACAGGTCTGAATTTCCTTACAGAAGTGTGGTAGGTTGACTCTGGCCAGCTGCCAAACACCCACCCTCACTCCCCTCTCCCGTGAGATGGGGAAAATAGAGAAGGCAGGCAAAAAGACTCATGGATTGAGATAATGACAGCTTAATAGGGTAAGGAAAAGCTCTGCGTGCAAGCAAAGGAAAATAGGGAACTTATTCACTACTTCCCCATCAGCAGGCAGATGTTTAGCCACTTTCGTGGAAAACAGGATCTCAGCATGTGTAACAGTTGCTTGGGAAGGCAAATGCCATAAAACCGCAAATGCTCCCCATCCTCTCCACCCTTCCCTGAGCTTTTATGGCTGAGCATGATCTCATACAGTATATGGAATATCCCTTTGCTCAGTTCAGGTCAGCTGTCCTGGCTATGTCCTCTCCCAGATTTTTGCCCACCCCTAGCCTACTGGCCTTTGTGAGGGGCAGTTGGAAAGAAAGCCTTAATGCTGTGCAAGCACTGTTCAGCAATAGCCAAAACATTGCTGTGTTATCAGCACAGTTTTAGCCACAGTTGCAAAGCATAGCACTGTACAGGCTGCGATGAAGTTAACTCCATCCCAGCCAGATCCAATACAGTCTTCTCCCCTTGTTCCATACCATTTGCAGCATGCTTAGGTTTCACGTTATCTGATACATCTAAGTGTCCTCTGACCATCCCATTCTATCCATTTCTTACTCCCAAAATCCCCTCTACTCTCTCCAGAGCTCTGTATCTCTCTTGTACTGGGGAGCCCAGTACTGGACACAGTACTCCAGGTGTGGAATCAGCAGTGTTAAGTAGAGGGGAAGGATCACCTCCCTCAGACTGCTGGCAACACTCCTGCTAATGCAGCCCAGGATACCATTAGCCTAATTTGCCGCAAGGGCCCATTGCTGGCTCACATTCAACTTGGTGTCTACCAGGACCCCCAGGTCCTTTTCTGCCAAGCTGCTTTCCAGCTGGTCAGCCTCCAACATATACTAGTGTCTGGGATTGTTCCTGCCCAGCTGCAGGACTTTGCACTTCCCTTTGTTCAACTTCATGATGTTCCTGTCTGCCCACTTCTTCAGCCTGTCAGGGTCCGTCTGGATGGCAGCACAACCCTCTGGCGTATCAGCCACTTCTCCTATTTTGTGTCATCAGTAAACTTGCTGAGGCTCACTACTGGCCGCTCACTAGACTTTGTGCCACTGATCTGGGCCCAGCTGTTCAGTCGGTTTTCAAATTCATGTGGGACTATTAAAGGGTGAGTGAGTCTTGCTCATCACTCCCTGTCTGTCTGATGGACAGACCGGCTGACAGATGGAGCCAGGGAGTCTGTGTTGCTGTGATGCTGTTGCTGCAGCAGGCATTGGAGTTTAACGTCCTTCCACGCCCATGGCACAGGGATTCTCCAAGAGGCCAGACAAGGTAGACAGCTCTTCGGTCTTCTCTTTACCCATGGTGGCTACACCAAAGGTCCACCAGTACCCTCTTGGGTCCTTGAAGTATCCCTCTCGTGCCTCTCTTGAGAGACAGTAAGGCTATCTAACAGTCTGCTGCTGCCAAAAAAAGGCAAAGCTCCTCTCCTCTCTCTGCAGCCCACTCCCAGCTTTGTGTCCCCGTGCGTCTTTCTCCCTAAGCAAACAGGGCTGTGCCAGTTGAGCAAACTGAATCAGTGTGGGGGAAACCCAAAGGAGAGCAACAAGAAGAGGCAGAAAAGACCTCACCTTTAGAAAGCTGTAATAGCAGAGATCTACTGAAGGAAGTAGAAATACAGTGACTGAACTGAAACAGAATTTCAGTCACCAGAACAGCATGCTCACTGATTGAAAGCAATAATATTTTGTAAAGGTTTCCAACTTATGAAAGAAAGGGCTTATTATGGCTTAAAAATACTATAGCAAAGTTGTGAGAAACAGAGAGGGAAAATTTTTTTAAAAGTGACTGTTGTGATGTATTTCTTTTAAAAAGTAAAACATAATTTGTACGTCTAGGAAAAACTGAATGAGCAGCTGGAAGAACAGCGGCAAGAGCAAGCTCTTCAAAGGTACCGTTGTGAAGCTGATGAGCTTGACCACTGGCTACTCAATACCCGAGCAACACTAGACACTGCTCTGGTTACTGCTGAGGAACCTATGGACATGGAAGCACAGCTGGTAGACTGTCAGGTAAAATTTATCAGTCCTGTAATGTTTAGATGAACAGGATGGACATAGCTTTATCTGAATGAAGAGGCAAATATGAAGCATTAATGTTAAGACCATTACTGAGTAGGATGAGCCAGCATATTAGTGGGGAAGGAGTTTCTGAGCTTCTTTGCACCTCATATATGCTCAGTTAGCTTCATCAGTGATTTGTGAAATAAAATATAGCCTGTTCTTCATTTCTTATTAAAGATTGCAAACAGTGATTTAGAAAGCACATGTAAAAATAGCAGTAGGAAAACAAGATATCCTGACTGCAAGAACATTTGAAGCTCTACAACTTTCGGAGGGCATTTTGTTTTGCTTTAAAGGCCTTGTATTCACTTCACTTGCTGGTTTTGCTCCACTCAAGCTGGAGTTGTTGAACAGCTCACTTCATAGGTATGAAAACACCTGCAGTGTACTTTCCTACTCCTCCTTTTCTAGCTGAAGAACACACTCCCACTAGCAGTGATGACTGGGACAGTGTTGTATGTTCTTCAGGAGTAATCCCTACCTACATTCGAAAGTAAAGTATAATCATCAGTAGTTACTGGTTTTGTGAATTTAATATTAATCAACCCAGAATACCAAAACAACTGAGGCAAAACATTTTGCTGCAATAGGAGTAATTGCATATACTTTTATTAACAAGACTTAGATCAGCCATAACATCCAGGTTCTTAAATTAGTGGGAGTTTTCCATTTTTAAATGAAAGTTTAGAACTGTATGATCATTATAATTAAAATTACAAGGTAGACAAGAGACAGATGGACAAAAGATCCCTTTTCATATTAAAGAATGAAGATCTCAACTATTTTAGGATAAATGGGAGTTAAGTTTCATATAAGTCCAATGAATTAAAAATCTAGTTAAGTTTCCACTGACACTGCTTCATTATTGGAATTTTCAGACTGCTCAGTCTCAAGTGTTCTTTCATCACCTGTCCTTGGGATCTGTTTGTTGTATATAGATAAACCTTGTGAACTTAAAGCAGTAAATTTTTTAATCTATAGAAAACTCAAAATTAAAAAGAACAGTTAACTGTGGAAAAATTAATACTGCTGTTCTTTTGCTGGTTCTTACAATCTTACGACAGTAATTTTTATATAAAGTCCTGTATTTTTTCCACTTTTTAGATACTCTGCCCATCTTATCCTGCACCCATTCCTTCAGGAGCAATATTTGTAAGGTTATACTTGACAGTTGCTATGGAAACAAAAACATTTTATGTCAGTCTAGGTTTTTGAGCAAGAATTGTATGAGCTTTGAGTTTGGAAGATCAAAATACGTACTATGTCTGTAATACATGAATGGTTAATGGAATGTCAGGAAAGTAGCTTTTGAGAATAAACATGCCAGAGATTTGCCACTTTAAGTCTTTCTTTAGACTAAAGAGGATTATACAGAAATCCTTAAGTCCATCATGCACCAATCAGAAGGAGCAAATAGTGAGAAGAGAAGCTTATCAACACAGCCAGAGCAACACATAGGAGGAGGTAGGAAGCATTTCACTAAATGTACATGAAAGAAGAGGAAAGAAGTAACTAGCTGCGTGCTCTGTTTCTTGTTGTTATGGATGTCAGTCTAGCATCTTGGCCATCCTTACCTTTAATGTGCAAATAAAGAGCATCTCCTCTACAACAAATCCTTTGTTACAAGTAACTTTTTAATTTTCTATTTTGAAAAAGGTTGCAAACAGAAATGGCAAATGCAAACATTTGCAAGCATATTCCTAAAGACTCTGAAAGGGACTGGAAGGCAAAGCAATGATGATCTGACTTGCCCTTAGCTTGGCAACGGGTGAGGTAGGCCACAGGTCGTCTCACCAGAAAGCATGACAGATGCTGGAAAATGTATGAATTTGGTTCTTTGTTTTTGCTGCTGCAGAACATGCTGGTTGAAATAGAGCAGAAGGTGGTAGCCTTGTCAGAGTTGTCTGTGCACAACGAAAACTTGCTTATGGAAGGGAAGGCTCACACCAAGGACGAGGCAGAGCAGCTGGCTGTGAAGCTCAGGACGCTGAAGGGCAGCCTTCTGGAGCTGCAGAGAGTGCTCTACGACAAACAGATCAACATTAGGGTAAGTGGCTCTTTCCAACGGCCTTCACGGTGGGCGGGAGGTTGGGGGATTTCATAGCAGTTTTATGCAACTGGGAAAAGGAGTAAAAATATTCTACTGGCTTAGTTTGAGGTATTCATCTGTAGTTAGTAAATGGAATTGCGCTCCAACATAAAGAACCGACTAGCAAGCTTTAGCTTATCATTTTCAAGTTAACAGCACCACTTCATGGTGAAACTATCCTAACCTCAGTGTCTTCACTGAAAGGACAATAATAAAGTAGTTAGATCATTAGCTTGGTCTGGATATACTCTATTCCTGTTCCCAGTCCCTTTAGATTGTGTGTGCTCTGGTGCAGGATCCCTCCCCCAAGAAAAGAACAACCCTAAATATGTACTTTCCTCCATACAGCATGCACAACACAATGAACAGATAACATCAAGATAATGAAACATTTTTCAATATGGCTAATACTTAGTAGTATCATTACACCAAACAAATTATTACATAAACAAAGATACATTTAACCTCAGTCTTGTCCTAGGTTTCTATTCCTAGCTGCATTGGTCTGCTGATTGCCACTAGTTCATTTTATTTAACAATTGTTTTTGGTCATTCTTTAGGTTAAACTAGCATGTGGAGAACCGAATACATACAAGAAACCCAACCATGTAATGTGACTGACTGGGTTTGAATTTGCTTGCCCTGCTGTGACTTCTCTCCCCTGCCTTTCCTTTTACTTCTTCTCTGGGCTTTGCTGTGCAAATTAAACATGATAAGCTTCAAAGATTTCTAGCTTGTAATGCAGATTAAATTCTACTGAGAGGTTAGCTTGAAAAGTCACTTGACGTGCTAAGAACTATTTTTAGTCCAAAGCAACTGGATAACTATAAAACTTAACATAGCTTCACAAAAAAACCCAAACAACAAACACACACAGAAAAAAAAGGAAGAAAAAACCACAGGTATTTATTCCTATTGCCTCTAAGATGAAGTAACTTCAATGTTATTCTTGCATATTAAATGTCATTATTAGGTAAATGAAAAGTGTTGTCAACAGCATGTAGGCATATAATACTATATTCTGATATATTACTTGTGAAGTGAAAAAGCTTTACAGATTTTGTTGCTTCATTTTAAAATGTGCATGCTGCATTTTAAAAAACAATGGTGTGATTTACTTAAACTTCTAAAACAGATCTTTCGATGTTTTTCTAATATCAAAAATAACAACAAAATAGTTTCCAGCTGTAGAATATGAATCATTTAAGGTGCTACATGCATGCAAGACTTAAGTTTCTTTATAAATTGCAAACTTTTTGGGCACTTCACTTATGGATCGTGGAATAAAATAGGTATAGGCAGTATAACATCTTCAAATTTTCATTGAGCAATTTTTTTCAAATGAGAAATTTTATAATGTCTTTTTCCCAAACAATCAGGCATAAAATACTTCTTTTGGACTGCGGCTTAGAACATCAGATGCCCCAAAATGCACTAACTCTCTTTTGCTGTTATTAACCCTGAGAAACATTACATGCTAACAGCAGTGTTGCCTCATGCATGTAAGAAGCTCGGACTTATACATGTCTCTAGATGTACTGATAACCTTGTAGTTGTCCAGAGGCATAGACCAGCCTGCACCCAGAAAAGGAAGGATTCTCCCAGGTTGCTCTACAAGACCAGGAGCATTGTAAAGACTGAGCTATATTTTCCCTAAAGCGATATTTCAGCGTGTCTTATTCCTGTGACACAAGGCTTTTTAGGAGTCAGTGTGAGATTCTGTGACTTCCTTGCATCAATTTCAGTTTTCCTTCTAATTTTAATTAATTAATGTCACTAATGCTATGGAAAAAGTGATTTGGAGACTAACTCCTTTATTCATAAAATAAAGCACTGAAACTAATCAGAAACATGCTGGATCAGGAGAGTTCCAGTCTACATTGATTCCAAATGTAGCATTTTTCAAGCACTTTGAAAGATATACAAAACAGTGCCTTATTACTGTTATCTGCTAACTGTTGTGACTTAGGAGCAATAAAAATAAATAAAATCCTTATAAAACAAAGCAGTAGAATAGATTCTGCAGTAAAAAAAAACAGATAGTGTTTCTTTACTTTTTATTACAAAGTGTGTGTGTGGGAGGGATAACTTCAGTTCCACAAGACAAATATGCCTGATATAAGTTTGTACTATTTGGAACTCCTTTGAGAGATCGTTTTTATCACCATTTTCTTCAGGGATTTTCCAATTATTTCTGTGCTGGAGTGGGTAGTCCTCAGGAATGACAGCTTCAAGCATTTATTTCCCTGGCTATTTAAAGGAAATGTAATACAGTTCCTTCAGACAGAATTCAAATGAAAATGCAAGTGTGCTTTTCAAACTTATATTCTATGATTTGAGAATGATAAAATCTGTTTCACAAATAATTTTGATCTAAAAAGTATGCACAATAGCATATTTGCAAACCCTCACTGCATCCACAAATGCCACAATCCCTTTTGCACTCTTTGCTATTGCAGGAACTGTGGGACTGCTATTTATTTGTCTTAGTATAACTCCAAAATTGTAGTTTCTCAACCGTCTTCCCAGAGAAGAGGAGACTCAAAATCCAGCTGAAATCAGCCTGCCTAAATGCAACGAAGAAGTAGACACTAGTCTCTGAAGGAATTTACAAGTTGAACAGCTATTGTCCCTAGAGCACATAAAGTGAAGCAGATTTTTTTTCTTGTAATTTACAGAAAGATTGTCTTTTTTCTCATTTTTAATAGAAAAATTAAAATTCTAGACTGTTGTTGTTGGGCCCCAGCCAGCAACTAAGCGCCAAGTAGCCGTTCGCTCACTCCCCCTACCCCGATGGGATGGGGGAGAGAATCGGAGGAGTAAGAGTGAGAAACACTCCTGGGTTGGGATAAGAACAGTTTAATAATTGAAACAAAATAAAATAAAACAATAACAATATAACAATAACAATAACAATAATAATAATAATAATAATAAT